GCCCTTGACAGGGAATTATGGAGGTCGAGCATTAAGGTTGTAGGTTAGGGGAAAGTTGTGAATATTTCTACAGCACAATAGAGTGAGACTAGCCAGTTAGGAGTTAGACTAAGAATGTCATTGGTCGTCTATTGATGCAGGGCTTTACCTGCTAGTTTTTACTATACCAGCCATCTATTTCGTATTTCGTATTCTGTATTTCATATCTCCTATATTGCTGTTATTTTATTATGCATTTTTATGGTACTAATATATCGTCTCCTGTTGCTTTTTTGAGCCGAGGGTCTCCTGGAAACAGCCTCTCTACCCTTCGGGCTAGGGGTAAGGTTTGCGTACATATTACCCTCCCCAGACCCCACTTGTGGGATTATACTGGGTCGTTGTTGTTGTTGTTGTTGTTAGTGTTTTTAGGACTTTGTTGTGCTTAAGTATTTGGTGCATATGCTGTTTTTTTTTAATATATGGCTTAGATTAGTTTTTAATAGACGGAATGTAGTATCGGTATTGATTCATTTCAAGTAAGCAAATTTCTATTAATTTAGTATTTTTAGGACTTCGTTGTGCTTCAGTATTTGGTGCCTACACTATGGAGTATATAACTTTTAGGCTTACTTAATAGACAGAATGTAATAGACCCCAACTAGTTTGGGAGAGGGGCATAATAGTTGTATTTTAGACAGAATATGTTTTTTGTTTTTTTGTTGTGTTTAATAGTGGAATGTACTTGACTTCGGCTAGTTTTGGGGTTGAGGCGTGGTAGTATTATTTCAGATGAGATATGTTCTTTTTCCAGTCTTATATTCTTTTTGTTTTATTGGGTTAAACATATTTTATGTGCTAAGGTTTGAGTGTGTTGCTTTATGGGATTCCTAATTTGCTACTCGATCATGCCATTTCAGCTCTGATTTCGAACGTGATAATTTTACTTCTAGTGCTTAAGTGAAAATTCAGTGTGGTTAGATGAGCTTCGTAAATATAGTTGGTCCGGTCCCAAGCTCAAAAATAGGAGTAAGGTTGCGGTAGGTTGGCCAGCCTGATTAAAAATAGTCTAACTAGGACAAGAATTTGTGTAGCTGACGTTAGGTAGTTTGGGATTGGGATGTAGTTGGTTGATTGGTTGTACATGGCATACGGGGATGTTTCTGATTTATAGCTTGGAGCATAATTGTGGTTAGTTTTGTTTGTTTTTCAAGTGTGTTGTTGTCATTACATGAACTGAGTTTTGGCCAATCTGGAGATTGATGTGGCGAATTATGAGC